TGTAACATTCTGCTTCTCTTTAAAAGCATTGGAGTTCATTCAACTCCACATTATTTCAGTGTGGATCTGCTCCTTTAATCTTGCGTCTCCTGTATGAATCGCTGGAAAGCATGTGGAGGTGATTGTGTGTTTTCTGAGAAGCATGTGTCGGCCTTGGCCTCAACAAACACGACTGTCCACTTGATTGCCAAGAATTCATTAGTGTCTAGAGGACTCATTGGGCTATTAACAGTGGCTTTTTTCAATCAACTGCCACTGTTATGTTCCTGTTAAGAGTTTGCTAAATCTGTTACGAGTGGCTCTTCAACGTCAACGTAATTGCTTCAGATCTTCACAGTCCAGCAACAAGAGGCCAGGCAGACACGTTAGCGGAGATGTTAATACACAGAGCCATATTAGCGGTGATTGCTCATTACTGCGATGCGTCTGTGCATCCACCATATTGAAGAGGTCACAGTCAGCCTGTAAACACACGCGAGTGAATTGACAGATGCGGAAGCGGCAGATTTTTCGACAGATTTTTTGCAAGATTCGGTTTGTCAGTTATGTCAAGGCGATTTTTGCATACTGCAGATTAGCAAAGCTCAATAAAATGCTTTGTTATTTATGAGATTTATGCTTAGATTTGAGGCTGGGATTTAAAATGCTAACTGATGTCTTTTGTTTCAGTGCTTCATTTAAACCAATTTACTGACTAGTTATGCAAAAAAGTGTATATAAGATGTGTCTTTTTTTATATATTTGAAAACTTTTTTTGTGGTTGCCAATAGGTGTGTTTTGATTACTGATTAATCAACTGATGAATTAATTTTTGATGAATAAAAGGATTAAAATAACAGTGTTTATGTAATTAACAAGTATATTGAACTGCTAATGTATTGAATGCCTTCTTGCTGAAAAGTATCAATCTCTAAATAATAATTATAATAATAATAGTCTTAATAATTCAAATTACTTAAGCTTTTGACCATTATGTATACACTACATGACAAAAGTCTTGTCGGCTATACAAGTTTTAGCAGCAACAAATAATAACTGGACTTTTAGTTGATCATTTGGTATCAGAATCGGCTTATATGAAAGGAAAGGCCTCTATACGCTTATTTTACACAAATAAAACACGATCAAGCCTTGATTTTTAATTATTTAATTAGGACAGTAAGGTCTGACTTTGCTTAGACAAAAGTCTTGTCACTTAACAGAAATAATGTACAGTATAGAATATAAAGTCATGGTGCAGTGGAAAAAGAATTAATATTGTGTATGACTCCCATGAGCTTGGAGGACTGCTGCATCCATACATCTCTGCTCTGACGCAAATCACTTATTAATAAAGTCATGTGGTATGGCAAAGAAAGTGTTCTTGCAGGACTCCCAGAGTTCATCAAGATTCTTTGGATTCATTTTCGATTCCTCCTCCTTAATTTTTCCCCAGACATGCTTAAAAATATTCATGTCTGATGACGGGGCTGGCCAATCCAGGAGCACCTTGACCTTCTTTGCTTTCAGGAACATTAATGTGGAGGCTAAAGTATGAGAATGAGCGCTATCCTGCTAAAGAATTTGCCCTCTCCTGTGGTTTGTAATGTGTTGGGCAAGACAAATGTCTTGATACCTCAGGCTGTTGATGTTGCCATCCACTCTGCAGATCTCTCGCACACCCCCATACTGAATGTAACCCCAAACCATGATTTTTCCTTCACCAAACTTGACTGATTTCTGTGGAAATCCTGGCTCCATGCGGGCTCCAGTAGGTCTTCTGCAGTATTTGTGATGATTGGGATGCAGTTTAACAGATGATTCATCAGAAGAACTAACCATCTACCACTTTTCTAAATGATCAAATAGAAGTCGAGTTATTATTTGTTGTGTGGAGGGGCTTAGAAAATCTTGTTTAATCCTTTTATTAGCTTTTAATAAATACTTTTTTTTTTACCATTAAAACTTTTTTTTTGTATTTTAACATTTATACATTCAGCGATTTTACTATTTTTCTGGAGACAATTTGTATAGTTAGGATAAACGTTTGCAGTCAAAAAGCAAAATAACTAAAATATGATAAATTATTTAACAATTTATTTAGGTACTCCCTATGAGTTTTCCTTTTTTCTTTTAATTTTAATTTTACATCTTTTTTTCTTATCGTTTTTCCCAGTTAAAATGAATCCATATAAGAACAATTGAGCATTTATTAATTTATTATTATACTAATTTCAGAAATGCATTCTTAAAAAAAAAAACTGGTTTCGGGTCGGCCAAAAATTTTGATGAGCTGTTGGACAAGAGCAAGGCTACAGCCTGTGCTTCTCGGGCCAGGGCCGGGCTTAGATTTGAGGCCTGTGCAGGGCTCTAGTCAGAATTATTACCCCTATTTTCACCAATTTCCGTTTAATGGCAAGATTTGTTTTCAACACATTTCTAATCACAACAGTTTCAATAACTCATTTCTAGTAACTGATTTATTTTATCTCCTCCATGATGACAGTAAATAATATTTGACTAGTTATTTTTTAAGACTCTTTTATACAGCTTAAAGTGACATTTAAAGACTTAACTAGTTTAATTAGGGCAAGTTAGGGTAATTAGGGATTGTATAAAGAGGGTTTTTCTGTAGACAATCTAAAAAATATATACTGCTTAAGAGGCTAATATTTTGACCTTCAAATTAAAAAAAATTACAATTAAAATTGCTTTTATCCTAGCCAAAATAAGACTTTCTCCAGAAGAAAAAAATATTATAGGAAATACTGTGGAAAAACTCCTTGCTTTGTTAATCATCATTTGGGAAATATAAAAAAAAAAGAAAACAAAATCCTAGGAGGGCTATTGATTATGTAGGAGGGCTAGTTAAACTGTATATATTTGTTTAATAGTGACTCAATGACTACCATAATGCACGAGCAATGCTACTGATTGTAATCAGATAAAGTTGAAACCAACCAGTTTGTTTGTTCAGGCAACCGACACAGTATTCACTTATGAAATACAGCAGTTTTTCACATCCTCATGATGAGACTACACACTTGGTTGTGTATGAATTTAGTCCGTAACACTGAGAACCCCTGACAGGAGCGGGGCAAAGCGTTACGCTGGCACATAACTCACCTCGCTTTCCTAAACACCCTGCTGAAGGCCTGTCAGATTGATGTTCAGAGGTGTTAAAAAGATTTTTCTATTTCTCTCTCAACTTTTCCGCTCATACGCCACGCTTACATGATTCATTATGACATAAACTAAAGCCTCCCCAAATTTCATGTGTTGATTTTTATGGCGATAAAGCGACGGCCAAAAACAACACGACAGGTTGTTGAGCTGTTAAATGATCTATGTAACAGGTTGCTCTTGCTAAATCTGCCATTTATTGCTCTCTGCTGTTTTCAAAGCAGATTTCCGAGAGTCTCAGATTTTTTATCTGCCTTAAAGAATCAAGCAAGCTATGGCTGCAATGACTTGTTTTGTAGCTCTTCACACTGTCTGTTATCTCTCTGCTTCGCTGTAATCCCACCTTAATTTTGACAGCCATCTTCTGTATAATAAATGCATTTAGATTTATTTATTTTAATTTCAAGTGTATGAGTGTTAAAAAGGAAACTGAATTTGGAATGTGGTTTTGGTGTGTTTTATTTTTAGATTTTTTTGTTTAGTTTTTTTGTGTTGTGTTTGTTTTTGGTGTGCCTTGGTGTTTTTTTTTGTGTTTTGTTAATGGTGTTTTTGTTTTGTTTTCTCTTTTTTTTATCTTCTTTAAGTGTTTTTGTGTGGTTTTGAAAGGTTTTTTTTTTCGTGTTTTATTTGTTTTTTTGTGTCTTTGTTTTTTATTGTTTTGTTGTGTTTTGTTTTTGTGTGATTATTGTTTTTTTGTGTGTTTTCTTTGTTGTATTGTGCTTTGTTTTTGGTGTTTTTGTTAGATTTTTATGTGTTTTGCTTGTCTTGTTTTGGGTTTTGTTACGTGTTGTTTTTTGCTTGTGGTTTTTGTTTGTTTTTTGTTTTGTTTTGATTTGTGTGTTTTGGTGTTTACTTTTTTGTGCTGTTTTGGGTTTGGTGCGTTTTGTTTGTGGTGTTTTGTTTTTTGTGCATTTAGTTTTTTATTTTTGTTTTGTTTTGTGTTTTTATTTCTAAATGATTCATTTTGTCTCTTGTGATTTTTGATAATTTGCAAATAGTCATTCTACTGCTGATTTACTGAAGATTGTCTTCATGCATACAAGTCTAGCAGACAATACTAATAGACTATTATTAATAGTTTTTTCATAGTTTTATTTTATCTATCATAAAATTTTGTCCTGTATCATTGTTTGAAAACTACATATATATATATATATATATATATATATATATAAATATATATATATATATATATATATATATATATATATATATATATATATATACATACATATATTATTTTTGTTGGTTTGATGCATAATGATTCAAGTAAATGTTTATATGTTGAAATAAAACACATTTTATTTTTTATCTATTTAAAATTTGTTGGTTTGATCAAATCTTATGTGTATGTTCTAAAATAAAATACATTTAATTTTTTGGTTGGTTTGATCCATAATATTTCAAGTAATGTTCATATGCTGAAAAAAATGTATGTATATATATATATATATATATATATATATATATATATATATATATAATTTTTTTTAAGGTTTATCAATAGTCATTTAAGTAAGATGCTAAAATAAAGCACTTTTTTTTTTATTAATCTGATTAAATTGTGATTCTATTTAAGAAATTGTAATTTCTTAAATAATGTTTTATGCTAAAAGCAGAAATCAAACAGACTAAATGCCCCCACCCTTTGTCAAAAGTATTTTTCACAACATCAGTGCATACCAAATTGAAGTTGTCCGATGTTTATTTGGATGTTGGTACTAGTTTAATTAATCACGGGATGTTTGTTTTCTCAGCCAATGCTGATAATGGTCAAATATAAGCCTACAGTCTTTCTATAAGATACTAACCTCAGCCTGTGTCTGTGTGTTTTTCAGTGCGGGACCCAAAGGTGACAACATCTATGAGTGGAGATCCACCATCCTGGGTCCACCAGGTTCAGTCTATGAGGGCGGCGTCTTCTTTCTGGACATCACCTTCTCCTCGGATTACCCCTTTAAGCCACCAAAGGTACAGTACCAATACATCTCTTCCCTTTTTACTCCTCGTTGTTGAGATTTTAAAACAAGATGATCTGTTTAGTCATTTACCTACAACTCCAATCAAAGCTTTTGAGTTTAATTGAACTTCAAACTCGGCCTGTTTCAAAACCTAGTAAGGTGCTGTGCTGTCTATGGAAATACAGTCTAATAGAGCCATTTCAGAGAGTAATTAAGGAATGAGGACACCTTGCAAAAAAAATATGAAACCGCAGTGACCACATACATATTGACAGGGTGCGAATTATACATTGATGATCAGTGGAGATCTAAATTTTCTGTAATGTTAGGGTAATGCATGCTTCAGTGAATCACATTTCTGCATTTATTGAAATTACATCTAATTTATTAATAAAACTTTGTTCTGTATTTTGAGGGATATTTAGCGTACTCATATTAGTGATTAGCTATTTCAGAGGTTACTGTAGGTCAAACTATGCATCTAATTTGACTTTACTTTCAGGCTGTATGTAGATACAAATTCTTATTTTGTGAGAAACACTTTTGGTTTCTATCGTTGCTCTACATCTGCCATTCTCAGGCTCTCGAATGATTTCTTTCCTTGCATAGACTGATTATGCAATCACAATGGTACAAACCATTATAGGGGTGGTCAAGTGTGTACTTATTTACTATTTTAATATCTTATATACTGTCTTAACCTTATTATTTAAAATGCAAATCAGAGTAAAATGTTTTCACTATTAAAAGGCTGACCCACATTCATCTTGTTTTAACATCTTTCTGTGTGAATTAAGAGTTAATTATTAATATTATATTGACTATTGTGACGGTGCCTTCTGACTATTGCCTGCACGACTGAAATTGAACATCATAATTGAATGATGCATGCAATAATTAAAAACACTTAATAATTTGACCAAAAGAAAACACCTTAGAAGACAGAAAAATCACCCTGCATAGGCAGCTCACTGAGTTTCACATGGTCTATATCTAAATGCAAAAATACACGCATTGGAACATATTTGGAAGCACTTCAGAGTGAATACTTCAAAGTTGTTCTCCAAAATAAGGCACTTTAAAGCAGCTGTATCAGACATTTCATGCTGGTCTTCAGAATATAAGTTCATGAATCAGTCTCACAGTATTTTTTAAAACTATGTGAATGTAAATGATCAGATTAGCATTTTATAATGTAATGATGCTACATTATGAAAGTTAAAGCTAGGATAAAGCAGTTTAATCACTCATCAACTTTGTCAAAAGAACCACTTATGACTATCGTTGGGTATTTTGAGGTTTTTATTGTTGCTCCCTCATATAGCAGATGAAAATGTTTTGCAGATCCTTTTTAACCATGTTAAGTCTTTAGAATTAAAAAGAACAACTGAATAATGCATATAATAGTACAAAAATGTTGGAATGAGGTGTGTTATGGTATATAAAATGATGGAAAATCCAATATCGGTGAATCCTTGTCTATTATTACTGAGTGAGTAATGATTCTACGTTGAATCTTATCAAGATACAAAATGCTGTTTGGCTGGCTGGCTCAACTCCTGTAAAATAACTATTAGTAAACATTGGCTTCCTCCACATAACTTGGACACTTACAACTTCAAGACATTATAATATTTGAATTATACAAGGTTTGAGTGAACTGCTGACAAAATCTCCATGTTTATTGCACAAGGAAATGATCAGGACCTAGAACGATTGACTTATTTTTTATATTGTACTCTATTGATCTCTCATTCTTGATACCGTACTTTTGTTTTTCTGTTATGTTTCTGTGCTTCTTGTATGATATGTGAATGACCCGTGCAGCTTTACTGTAGACACTTTCTCGAGCGAAAATGATGTTGACTGAAACTTTGTCGTACACTTCGCCCACCAAAACAGTACCATTGGTACCCTTTTAGCAGTGGAAATGCGAGCCTGATAAAGGTGACCCATACCGTACCCTACCACTCAGTGGAAAAAGGTCAATAATGTGCTGTGATTTGCGGATCGGCTCCATGTCACCAGGAAGCATCCCTGCTATAACATTACACACATTACACACAGTGTTTCCAGCGTTGCAGTGTAAGTTATTGTATCAAAAATCTGAAAAATGACTAGCACAAGGTTGGTTTTACTATGGTGGTGTTGTGAAAATGAACTTTGACCCTTTATTCCCCACATCCAAATCTCGATCTGTCAGGGATCGTCATCTCCATGTCAAGTTCAAGTTCATTTATTTATAAAGCACATTTAAAAGCAGTCACAAGACTGACCAAAGTGCTGTACATAAGACAAGGTAAAACATAAATAAATAGACAGAATATAAAAGCATAGAAATAAGGCAAGAGAAACGTCTGTAAAAATGTAAAAAAAAAAAAATTTGCGGTAGAACGAACTATTAAAATAATCTTAAAAAGCCAAGCCTAAAAGGGTACGTTTTAAGAAGTGGTTTAAAAATGAATGATGATGGAGCCATTCTAATCTCAGGGGCCAAGGTGTTCCACAACCGAGGACCTGCCACAGAGAAAGCTCTGTCCCCTCTACGTTTCAGCCTAGACTGTGGAACTGAAAGAAGATTCTGCTCACTTGACCTAAGAGATCTCACAGGAGTGTAAAGATGAAGCAGCTCTGAGAGATAGGATGGGGCTAGATTATGAAGGGATTTATAAACCAGTAAAATCACTTTAAAATCAATTCTGAATTGCATAGTCAATGTCATGATCAGATGTCTGTGATTCTCCGCACTCTGCTAGTATCTGAAGTGAAAGGCTCGTTCACGTTTTATCGAATCTACATTTTTGCTGATGTACTGTGTCAACGTCGCTGCATTCAGGCAAAAGATCCGAACCCAATTCGATTCATTTATTTGACTCTGACCTGGCCATTTCCCTAGAGAATCAATAGTTTTAAACACGGTGCACTTTCTGATTTAAAGCTCAGCTGGATGTTTTCATTCACACAGTGTGTCATTTTCAAAAACCCAAAATAGGAGCTCTTTAATACTACTACTTTTTAATAGTAATATTAAGCTAACAAAAAGCTATTTTAAATTGTAATAATATAATGTTTTACGATATTAAATTTTAGTATGTTTTTGATGGAATAGGTCGTCATCGCATAGAAGGCTTAAAAACAAATCTTTATTAAATATTTCAAACCTTTGACCTATAGCACTGTTTTTAATATTATGCTTTTCTAGTAAAATACAAAATGAGCATTTTAAAACAAATAGATTCTTAAATCCGTCTTTGTCTGTGTGTGCGTTTTGCTATTATTAGACCATAGTCGGTCACAAAAGCGCAGTGGCCTTTAATTAAGATTTATTAGGTCTACCAAGGACACTCTGTAGCGAATCACTCAAAACAGGTATTGACCTCTATTAAAATACCTCAAGGATAATGCAATGCTGAACGATTGTATTCGTCTGCTATTCTGTGTGCTGGATGGCTGAGCGCTCTTCATCCGAGCACCGGGCTATTTCCAGCATAAAGCAATTAGCGAGATGCCGACAGGCAGCGGTGTGGTTTAGGAGAGCTGGTTTACTATTGCCCGGGCTATAAAGGTGAAAGAGTCAACTGCGCTGCCTCGGATTAATTAGCATCCGAATCTCCTTCCTCAGCATGTTTGGGAATTTGCGCTGCTCTGAGTGGCTCAGTCTGGACCGTCAGCGGCATCTGTAAACAACAAGTTTATATAAAGCTCATGGGTTGGAAAGGGGCTCTTTGTTCAGATCAAGCCACACTGCAAAAGCTCTAATCCACTAATTATAAACAGGATTCATCTTCTGCGGTCTGGAGCCACTCATTCTTTTGTCACCAGATGAAACATTGGGTAACTTAGGGCTAGAAGTTGTTTTGTGTCGGTTGCTTTGTCAAGTCTCTGCCCTCTTTTGCTCGCCGAATAGTTCGGCTTGGTTTGTGGTCCACTAATGCTGGGCTCAGGACTACATAATGAAATCTGAACTGATAATGAAATCTGGTTACAGCATGCACATGATGAGAATCTTAGATGACTGTATTCCCTTGATTTAAAACACCAAGATTTAGGGACCACAGTGTAACACATACTACTAGGGATGTAACGGTATTGTAAATACCGTCATACCGCAATATTAATTTTTTTCGATATTACCGAAGTCGCATGACTCGGTAAAACTATAGGTCTTCTGAGAAAATTTGCTCAGGCGAATGAAGCGAACGGGACGTAGCTGAAACTACATTTCCCATCAGCCCAGGCGTGGCCATAATCCTTTGCGGTCTGTTGTCGCTACAGATCCAGTAATGCGGAAATGGAGTGTGCTGCTAGTAGCGGAGATGAAAAAAAGATGGAAATGATCGAACCTAAAGCGGGTGTTGTCGCCGCGCGCGTGCTGAATAGCGGTGCTGTCGCGCGCGTTCTGATCAGCTGTGTTGTGGCGCGCGTATTGTAAAGCGCCGAGGGGGGGTTGAGCGCGCATATTCAAGAGAGGTGTTGTCGCGCGCCTACTGAAGGGCTGGATTGGACGGAGGTTGTTTTGCGTCGCGGGGGCACTTTTGATCGTTTTGGAAGGGCATTTTCTATCCAAGACTAAAAAGGGCATGCACACTGCACAGGTTGAGCCCTATGTGTGCACGTGCCTGCAAGTTGGGGAATACGACTAATAACAGTCATGGGGACTGCAGAAACACAGCACACTGTTCAGATTGATGCAGACATTGACTTGTACCGCAAAGAGATCTCTATCTCACTCATGGTTTGTCTTCTCAAGTGGGGGAAAGCCAATGCACAACGTTACCCCACTGCTGTCAACCTGGGCCAAGTCATATCTCTCTTGTCCCAGAAACCTCAGTCCCAAATGAGAGGGGTTTTTTCTGTTGCAGGGGACATTGTAAATGCCCAGAGATACCAGCTTTTACCAGATTATAATTATATGATAATTTTCCTTTAAACCCATCTCTATCTAAGTGAGTGAGTGATTAAATGTTGAATGTGGTGAGTTTTCAACAATACTAAATTGAAACTTTATTTTTTTACATGGTTTAATAATTTTTTGTTATTAAAATTGAAGTTAGTGTTTCAAAGCTTACAGATAAATGGCTAATTTGTATGTCATTGACACTTTTGGCACTTTTTTGGAGTATTTTCAAAAGTTTTTTTTTTTCTGTAAATGATTCAATAAATACCGTACCGTGACATTCATACCGAGGTATTACCGAACCGTGAAATTCTGATACCGTTACATCCCTACATACTACAATAAATTATTAATATTATTGTGCTAGAGGGAGCGCATCATGTGATCAGTTTGGTCAATGCAAAAAGACAACTTTATCAGGCAAGGCAAGTTTATTTATATCGCACGTTTCAAAAGCACATTGAAAAATGATTAAAAACAGATTCAAATGTGTTAAAACAGGTTTTAAAGGAATGGAAAAGAAAGGGACAATCGTGTGGTATGTCGGACATCGCACAGTGCTCATTCAGTAAAGGCACAGCTAAACAGATCTTGATTAAGTCTTGATTTGAATATGCCTCATGTTGGAGCACATCTGATCATTTCTGGAAGCTGATTGCGGTTGCTGGTTCGAGTGTGGAGTTTGCATGTTCTCCCGGTATTGGCGTGGCTTTTTTCTGGGTGCTTCGGTTTCCACCACATTCCAAAGACATACGCAATAGGTGAATTGAGAACTAAATTTGCCGTAGTGTATGTGTGAATGTGAGTGTTTATGGGTGTTTCCTAGTACTGTGTTGCGGCTGAAAGGGCATTGGCTGCGTGTACCGGAATAACTGGTGGTTTGTTCCACTGTGGTGACATGATAAATTAGAGGCTAAGCCGCAGAAAAATGAATGACCAAATGAATGAATGCAACTTTGCACCACTCTTTTTCTCTGTCTATTCCACACTATTGTAGACACTATGTTCTTTGAATCTGTTTTGAGCTCAATGTTTTTATCTGGTGAAGAAATTGTATTAATAAAGATGTTTTGAAATATTAAATTTCTATTTCTTATTTCATCTCTCTATCTCTCTTGCACATGTTGGCATGTGGTTTACAGGGACTTTCCCTACATGTAATGTTTTTCTATTGTGCAAACTGTAGGCTATCCAAATTCTATCTGAAAATCGAAGCCGATCAAGTTCGCCAACAAGATTTAATCTAACATTCTCTGAGGGTGTAAATTGGATGTAGATTGTGCTAAAACTCCTGTAGCCTAAACATCTGAGTCCGGCATAATCTGTGCTTTTGTGAATGATTCTGTGCTTAAAAGCAGGGTGGAAAAGAGTCTGCATTTCATCCTCAAAGTCTATCTAGTAATAGGAGTATCGATTAAACCGAGCTGTAAAAGGCTCTAATGCATTGGCTTATTTACAGAGCAATTTGGTTGGGTCATTATGTGCCTTTAAAAAGAGCTATTCCTCTTTTATTTTGTGTCTCGTCTCGTTCGGTCTGTCAGTTTAAACATCCTACCTGGCTGTCTACAGAGAAAGCTGTTTATGTTGTTAGGCTAATGAGCTCTTTTCCTAATAAGCATAAAAGGGTGATGATTCAGTAAAGATCTGATCATGGCCTTGATCAGCTTTCAAATGGATTCAACCTTCAACAAGTTTGTTGGTAGTCATTCGTTTTTGAACTTTGTTTCTTAGTCTCGCATTGCCAGACTGTCAGACTGACGGTGAAAGGACTGGATTACTTTGCAGCTTTCATTGTGTGAAGGCAGGCTGCACAGTGTTATCGTTTCAGCATCAACATTGCAAAGTGTGCATCTCTAATAGTCACTTTGCAGGATGTGCAATATTAATATGTTTGGATTAGAGTTGACTAAGAGCTGCAGTTCTAAAACACATGATATTTGTGAAGTCACTGCAGTGTTTAACCATAATAGGGTTGAATAATATGTGTTTGAAGGCATGTGACTGTATGAGCATTACAAGAGAGTTAAAATTATGTAGGCACAAGAAATTGCACAGTTTGTAACTTAGAATAAAGATTTATTTTTTTAGGCAATGAAGACTGTATAGTGTTATTTTTCATTTGATTGTTTAATTTATGTTCTTCAATACTGATAGACCAGCCTGATCTCATGAGGAAATGTAAGTATTTTACGTTTTGTCACTTTAGCGGCTAATTTGTCCGAATTCGTGCGAGTTCAGTCACACAAAAATGTACGATTTTAAAAAGGCATGGGACCCAACACCACCCCGAACCCTACCCATCATTGGATGATGAGCAAATCATACTAAATTGTACAAATTAGATTGTACTAATTTATACCAATTAGCCACTAAATCAAAAAGTAACGAATTGCAATGAGATTGCCTTTGATAGACTCCCCATAAAAAAAACATAAAGCACTGTTTATTCCACTTTTGCCTTTTCTCTGTTGTGTTTATCTATGCTAGTATGCTTATTATTATTTTATGGATGATTCACACACACAGAATTATCCCAATCAGTCTTTATGGACTGGAAAGATTCAAATGATTTTAAAGGGTCTTCATGGAACCTTTATATTTAAGAGTACACTGTGCACTCAAAAAATGATGTGTGTTGTTTGTTCAAACTGCTTGTTTAAAATGAGCTGAAACAACATAATTCTTGAGTGTTTTTGGGAAAACTTAAGTGTGTTATGTTTAATTCACTCAAATTTGTAAAAACTAATAAGTTATTTTAATTCCTTCATGTTGTCCAAACAAAGATCTTTGTTTTACAATGAAAAAATTGCTGCTCCTTAATATTTAGAAGTACTTTTACATTTAATTTCAACTTGCATCAATTAAACAGACTTAGGGCCCTATCATACACCCGGTGCAATAAGGTGTACAAGGGCTCTATTTGTTGCTATTTTCAGACCAGCGCAACCCTATTTTTTATGTTTTGCACCACATTATTTAAATAGCAAATCCATTTGCACCTCTTTGTGGACTCATGGGTGTGCTGGTCTATAAAGGAGGTGTGTAAGGTGCATCGTTGGCACGTTGCTATTTTGAGGAACTGAAATAGACTGCACCATTGACCAGCTGAAAGCAGCTCTAAAGTCCATCACAGAGTTTATGAGTTATGCGCCTGTGTGGGTTCAAATTCGTACACATTGCTTAATACACACAGGATTTACAGCAATACACAAATATCTTTACATATGAACAACAATTAAAAATTTTAAATGTTACAATTTTTTTCTACATAAATATAAAAAACTACTTCATGCCTCCATGCCTTTTTCATTTAATTCTTGAAAATTTGCATTAGTATAATGTTATTATTATTATTAGCAGTATTATTTATTATACGCATCTTTATATCAGTTTTAATAAAAACAAGTTTAGATTTGTCCACCTGTCGGGTTTTAAAGAATTACTGTATGCATCACTGTATGGGGCATAAGAATTGGACGCGTGTTTGAATATAACTCCAATTTTATGACCACACTTTGTTATTATTGTTATTTATTTATTTATTTCTAGAACTGAATTTAGAAAAAGTTTTGAAACAAAGTTTGTGCTTAACAAACGAAATTAATTGTGTAGGCTAAAGGATTTCATCAGTGAAGTGCGCACGCAGTTTTCATGTCCACGAAACTAAAGGAGTAACGTAAAGAATAAAAGTAAAGAGAAAGTAAAGAGGCCGAATGGAAGAGGCTCATTCTTTATCCTCGCGATGCAGATGGTCTGTTTAACTGTTTTCTCACTAGAGAGGTGTTCAGTTTTTCCACTTACAAAGTCTGCCATGTAAATAGAAAATGCGCCATGGCACAACACAATTAACTCTTAAAGGGAATGAGACATGATTCATGATTCATGAGACATGATGAATGAGACAGTCTCTGATTGGCTTATTGCATGCTGTGATCAAAACACACCCATAATAACTCATTTATAGAACAAGCAACCCTGTTAGATCATGCGCCGGGGTGCAGAGCTTATTTTTCTGTCCTTAAAATAGCAAAAATTGATTCAGACATGCCCTTAATTCTTTTGCGCCCTGCACTACAGACTTTGTAACTAGATTGTTAAAATAGAGCCCTTAAAACATCAAGTTAAAATTTGCATTACTTAAAGTAAATTAGTAAATACAATTATTTATTAATTTTCCTTTGGCTTAGTCCCTTTTAAATGAGTAAATAGCTCATTAAAATGTCATAACATAAAAACATTTGTTGTCATTACTTTTTGATCATATTTTTACAGTGAAGCGTGATGCTCTACAATGCCTTGTAGGCCACTCACTAGCTTTTATCTATCCAAAGAGTCTTGAACTCTGTCTTGTTTAGATTCCCCGTGTTGGCCGTGAGGCCTCACACACGCTGCCCGTGTCATACTGGCTGTGTTTTCACTCTGCGACCACCATGTTCATACAATACCCACATTGTGCCAGGCAGGCAGGGTTATTTTGGTCTCTCGGTTTATTCTGCATCATGTGACAGACGTCTTAGTAGCTGCTGCAGGGGGCAGAGCGATATGCAGTCAACAAACAAGAAGCACTCTTTATGTGCTGAAGGAGCAGACTAATGCATGACCCAGACTAACCCTTAACCCTTATCCCGCAGACTCGGCCCTCCCACAACACTGCCGGTCCTGTAAGCTGAGGCCAGAAGTCCTCAATACTCTAGATAAGGACACAGTTGGGAAGCTGGGTCAGGTTAAGCTTGCTTGGCTCTATCGTCTCATCAAATCGATAGCTTTCAGGACTCAGCCGTGGTTTCTGAGAGAGCTGTTAATGAGAGAGTACAGCTCTCAAAAGCCCCTTCTGTTAAAATGCATCCAGAGCGTTAGAGCCTGCTTCTGGACTGGTGAGCTAACATCATCCCTCTTTAGAAGGACTTGCTTGGTGATCATTTGGGTTATTTTTCTTCTCTGCAGGTCACGTTTCGTACGAGGATCTATCACTGCAACATCAACAGTCAGGGTGTGATCTGCCTGGACATCCTGAAGGATAACTGGAGCCCGGCTCTGACCATCTCCAAGGTCCTGCTTTCCATCTGTTCTCTGCTGACAGACTGCAATCCAGGTGAGTAAAGCGAGTCAATACTGCTTAGAATGACATCCAGCATTCCAAGCCATGCTTTACCACTGATGTGAAGGACAACTTCTTCAGCACATGTACCAAAACACTTTTTAAAGAAATAGTTGCTCCAAAAATTTAAATTAACTTTGTTAAATGATTGGCCATTCTGACTGTGCCGTTCTTTGTTAAAGCCAATTTCTGGTACCAAAAAAAATGCTTGCTGAAAAATGCAAATACTGAATCTTTTTCTGTAAATCAAAGAAAAATCATCAATTCTGAAATCTTGCATAATATCTAAAGAAATGTTCACTGTCATGTTTTTTGCACATGACTACATGCATGATTGACAATGGCAGGTTAGACATTTTTAAGGTATAGTTCATCCATGAATTCAATTCAATTCACCTTTATTTCTATAACGCTTTCATAATGTAGATTGTGTCAAAGCATCTTCACATTGATGATCATAGTAAATTGAAACAGCGTCCGTCCAGTTTTCAGTGTTTAAGTTTAGTTTAGTTTAGCTCAGTTCAATGTGGTTTAATAATTACTACTGAGAGTCCAAACACTGAAGAGCACATCCATGAATGAAAATGATCATTTAAGGTGGATTTACACTTTTCCCTGGCGCCTCATTGCGTACTTCTGCTGACTGTGCGCACACCTCGCGAAATGGACAAGGCTTTTATACTTGCTGCGTTCGCTGTTGTGATATTCTTTTAAACGACAGGGGACTGTCAAAAGAACCCCAACGTAAAATCAGACGGATAAACAGAGAAGTAGGAAGTTTCCGGAACTATTTCATATCATTAATATCATTCAATATTTTTGAACTAATTATTTTTATTGGTTTTATAAATTATTTTAATGACTTTAAAGATTTTTATAACCATTCAAGATTTTTTTTATGAAACTTTGATGTATTATTTGCTTTTGTTCATATCTCTGACAGTTTTACCTATTAAAGTTTATTAAATATTTATGAAAAGAGAACATGAGTTGCTCCACAATTTTTTTTTTATTATGGCAAGAATAAAAGCAAAAAAAGTACACTTACTAAAAAATAAAAATAAAAATTCTGACTTAGCTCACTCAACCATTCACACATTACTGTCTGTCTAGTTTCTGTCCTATACTTATGCTAAAACGGCAATAATGGTCCAACATTCCTGACCATTATCACCAATAAAGCCTAGAATGAGGGCATCAGTATTTTGTACACCGATAGGTTCAAATATTCCTTCCCAGTTATCAAATAAATAATTTGTTCCTTAATCATAGTTTTGTAACTATTAAATTGTTTTAAATTTAAAATTGCAAAATATAAATCAATGTTAAACCTTTAAATGGTGGAAAAACATATTTCTGTAATTGTGTACCTGAGTCTCCACTTTTGCCATGGCCTGTTTTGGTTTTACCAAACTTATCTCTCAGGTTTTTCCAAACCTTTTGATTAAAACCTTTCCTGCTTTGCCACAGCTGTTGCAATTTTTAGCCAAGCATTATTGATCATCTGGTTATCTTTATGATCACAGATCATAAAGATGTCTGTACAGTCGTACTGTTTCAGACAAAATCTCTTCGAAGTGTTTTATATTCAAATCAAATGCGGAGCCGCATAAAATGTTCGATCTAGTCTCAAAAAAAAAAATCATGTGCTCCGCCGGCCGAAATCATGTCGTGCAAACCTCCGCAAACTCTGCGATGACATCACATTTGCTGCGCACACTCAAGCGAACTAGAGGACGCTTTACAAGCAGGCTTTAATGTGCCTCTTGTCATTCCAGAACCTGTATGACTGACTTTCTTCTGTGGAAAAATGTTTCTGTGAATAAAACTAATTAGGCAATTTTTTTTTCTGCCCAGTTGACTTTCAAAACATAATATCTTTTCCTTCATGACAGAAAGAAACAGGTTGATGTCACAAGAGAGTGAGGAAATTGTAATTTTGGAGTGAATCATCTCTGTACATTTATGGAGTACTAAAATCAAAAAAGAATCCTTGCCATTTAAAAAAAAAAAGTCTGCACATAGATGATAATTTAGAGACCACTTAATGGGGGTAAAAATAGAATTAAGGAAAAAATGTCAAATACAAAAAAAATATTTTGGTATAAATAAAATAGATTTGATTGAGCCTTACATAAATCAAGGACAAAACGTCAAGCTATTATTTGTGATCTAAAACGAAACAAGACCGTTTAAAGAAGAAGGTGTCACAGGTAGCCAATGGAGAGACCTCAACATAAGAGTAACGTGCATATTTCGGGCTTTTTATTTAAAAAAAAATAACAACAGATCACATTTACGAATATATGATGTTGAAACTGATGACAGCTTTTGGTTTCATGTTGATGTGTGGCTTGAAGTTCAGCTCTTTTCACGAGTAAGAGAAACTAGCCCTACAGTTTCAAATCCTCTGTAAAGCCATCACCATGTTTGTCTGGAAAGCATCTCTGACATTGTTGTGTCAGCTGAGTCAGCACATGACAGATGTGTCTGCTCAATCCCACACAGCTCTTTCATTTACTCTAGAAGACGGCTTACTTCTCACTGCTCTGCCTGTGTCCTTCCCAGCGCCAGTCTGTGTCTTTCAAAATAATGTTTTCGCCAGGGATCGCTGATATCATATCGTTTGCTTTATAAGACAATATCATCCGTGCAAAATCAGGCACCAACCGTGAGAACAGTACAGTTATTGTTAATTCAGTTCATCGTATTCATATCAAACAAATAAACAAAAATCTGCATGCGCTGCGTGCAGGGCCGGTGAGGGCATGCAGATTTTTATTTATTGGTTAGTTTTGATTATTGTTGATTTCAAATGCAACAAATCTGTTAATATAAAACGTGTAGTAACGGTGCTCATAATTGTTGAGTGAGACTAAATTTTGTCTGGTACGCCTACATTTTTGAAGTCCGGAGCACCGGTGCTACCAAGAAAAAAGGTTCATTCCAAGCCCTGCTACAGATATGCTTGTGATACTGACGTCTTGCTAAAATACCAGTCATAACATTGATAAGCCAAACGTTCCTCTTGGACATCATTACTGCAATAAATATTAGAAACTTGTGGCCCATCGTTAGCTTTCCAGGGTATAAGAATGTCTCACTTATTATTATTTTTGTTTCCGCTTTCTGTTTTACTCCTCTCTCAGCGGATCCTCTGGTGGGAAGCATAGCTACTCAGTACCTGACCAACAGAGCAGAGCATGACAGAATAGCTCGACAGTGGACCAAGAGATACGCCACATAGACGGCAGGTCACCGACACCTCCAACCTCTGGTCTGCCCTTCCTCCTCTTCCCAAATCCCCTTCGTCCATCCCTCGCTCCGCACACTCTTCTCTGCCGCCACCGCCCCCAGTTCCCTTCCACCCGCAGGAGTGTAAAGATCCAGGAGAGGCAACTTTACAACGTGCAACAAATCTTTATAGCCTTTACAATACGGACTTCTGTGTATATGTCATACTGATTCTACCCCGTGTTTTTACCCGATAACGGACTGGGAGCGCAGACAGGACCCACCAAGGTGTAAAGGCTGCCGGAGTAGAATTTTGTAGCTGTAGATTTAGTTCTGTTTAAAAGCCTACTTGCAAGTCTTGCTTCTTTGGGATATAAAAAAAAACAAATGTATTTTGTGATGTAATAAGGAAAATGTTCCTAAAGTCAACCAAATATTATGGTGCATTTTAGCCTAATTCATTATCTGTATGAAGTCAAAGAAAAACGAAAAAAAAAAGATAAAAAAAGAAAATGAAAAACAAGCTGTAGATTATTAGAAATGATGTCATTTATATGAGACCCACACTCATTTCCAGTTCTGTGGTACATGCTGTTGTGAATCTGTTATACCTTTGTCAGTTTGTAATGAAGCGATCTCATTGAACGTTTTGTAGCTCAGCTGAGATGAGCAACCACTGTAACATCCCCTCAAACACAATAATAAAAAAATGTCCCCAGGGTGAGGTGTTTGTGTGTTTTTCTCCATTCATGGTATACACTGGTATTACGCTACGTTTACATGACAGTGATGTAGTTTTTCCATTGCATTTTGATGAAGCTTCACGTCTACAGAACTTTTTTTTAAATGATCCGCGTTTACAACACTCCACTGGCTGTACTACTGTGCATATGCCAGGCCAGTATTTTGTGCTCTTAGAAAATGGTACCTATCAGTTTGTTAAGTGGTGACGTATGTAATACTGTTTCCGGGTCCAAGCCGCCACTCATTTGAGTTGAGACATCATTCGTTTATGATCACGTTTTATTCCTATCACACATTAAAGTTAATTTTATATAAAATGATAGTGTACACAACAATCTCTGCGCTTGCTGCATAACAAATACCAAAAATTTAACAATTTATAAAAAAATGAATCACTTTCTGGCCACTGGATATTAGACATGGACATATATATTGCGATCATGATTTTCGAAAGTATTAAATCGCTTTGTAAACGTTTATTATAACCATTTCATGAGTCTTCCCATTCAGTTGAATAGAGCGCTTGTCACACGTCACACTTAACAAGCGGATAGGTAAGTGATGATGTGCCTTTGGTGGCTTGGCATTTGTGTTTATGTATTATTGGTCATGTGTGTAAGACACATCTTTGTGTCAAAGTTTTAGCTTCTTGTACATTAAGGTAGCGTTTGGAAAACGGTGTCGAGTTTCTTCACTGGTGTTTTGTTTTTACTGAATGCTACCTTAATGTAAAAGTAGCTAAAACTCGCTTATTCCGAGTTGCGAACTGGTGGATGTGCTACAACATTAATCATTAGGTAAACACAAAACAACAGTTTCCATCTGGAGTTCCTTCATGGGACTCGACGTTTGTAAACAATCGCACCATCTGGCTCAAGGCTCTCAGCACCGTCGACCAATCACAGCGATACCAAGCCGACCAATCACAGAGCTTGTACGCATCGTTGCGACGTAGTTACCAAGCGGCAACCTCCTGCTCTCCCTCAGGAAGCCAATACGGAAGTAACTGAAACTACAATTCATCCACTACGTAAGCACAAGGACTAGCGTGAATGTTAAAACCTCAGTATCCTCAGTATAAGTATTTTAGCTTTTTTCATATAGGTTACATAGAATAGAGAAGAAAAAAAAAGAACAAATACTCAGCATGTGCTTTTTTCCACACTTCTTATGAATCATAAAATAAATGACATTGGTCAGATGTTGCTTTTTACAGGAACATGCACATTTCCTCTTCTTAGATTTACGATTTGTTATTTTAAGTTATTTAATATATTGGGCTCTAAAAATATGCAACCTGACGGGACTATCGTGGCACTGGCAAAATGTCTACTGTAACAACATGAAATACTTTCAGTTTGTGTGTTGCTTGCAAAATATTTCATCAGAATAAACAGCAGAGACGAGGGCACAAAGTGTCTACTATCAAGTCTGAAGTCCCAGAGCACACAAAACAAGCAGGTTTTCACAGTATCTAAATTCATTTTCACAACTATATATGCGTGCGTGTGCGTGTGTGTGTGTGTGTGCGTGCGTGCGTGCGTGTGTGTGTGTGTGTTTGTATATAATTCATAATTTGTCCTTCTGTAATAGTTGCATATGAATCCCTCAGTTGTAAAAAGATGAATCATAAAATATTAAAGTCATTTCAGTAAGGGTAAATACAACTGATGAAAAATGAATTTTGGGGACCTGAAAGATTTTTATAAAGTACAGAAAGCATTATAGCTGCTCAGAAGGGACTTATGATAATAATTGCTGTTGTTCATTCAGGTAATAATACATTATTAAGAATCAACTGTATGTAATTTTTCTTATTCATTTATTTTTTTAATACTTTTATTGTTTCAGAAAAAAATGTGATGCATTCATTTTCTTGTCAGCTTAGTCCCTTTATTAACCCAGGGTCGACACAGCGGAATGAACCGCCAACATATCCAGCACGTGTTTTACACAGCAGATGCCCTTCCAGCTGCAACCCATCTCTGGGAAACATCAACTCAAACATAACACACTCATTCGCACTCGTACACTACGGACAATTTAGCTTACCAGTTCACCTGTACAGCAGAAACCGGAGCACCCAGAGGAAACCCATGTGAACGCAGGAAGAACATGCAAACTCCACACAGAAACGCCAACTGACCCAGCCGAGGCTCGAACCAGCGACCTTCTTGCTGCACTACCAACTGTGCCACTGCGTCTTCAATGTGATACAAACATACTGTATTTGTAACTAAATACCAATCAAAGAACACTCACCCCATCCCAATAAAGCCATAATATATATATATATAACCCTAACCATGCAAAAAAAAAAAAAGATTAAAAAAATAATAAAAAGGGTAACTTTGTAATAATATTAATAACATTAAGACATTGACAGTTAGTCATAAACACAGGTGAGGCAGTGGCGCAGTAGGTAGTGCTGTTGCCTCACAGCAAGAAGGTCGCTGGGTCGCTGTTTCAAACCTCAGCTCAGTTGGCATTTCTGTGTGGAGTTTGCATGTTCTCCCTGCCTTTGCGTGGGTTTCCTCCGGGTGCTCCGGTACAGGTGAATTGGGTAGGCTAAATTGTCCGTAGTGTATGAGTGTGTGTGTGAATGTGTGTGGATTTGGATGTTTCCCAGAGTTGGGTTGCGGCTGGAAAGGCATCCGCTGTGTAAAAACTTGCTGGATAAGTTGGGGGTTCATTCCGCTGTGGCGACCCAAGATTAATAAAGGGACTAAGCCGACAAGAAAATGAATGAATGAATAACAAACACAGTGCACATTAACAGTGTATGTAAACTTTTGAATCTGTACATTGCACACTAAATGTTGCTTTAGGTAGTTTGTTTGTCTGAGAGTGAGAATGTAGCTACAGTGTTTAAATGGAAACGTTTTTATTTATTTATTTATTTATTATTATTGTTTTTAATCTGAGTGTTTTAAGACCTACCTGTCCAAGAACTTTAGGCGGAAAGTAGCGACTTTTCTAAAGCCTTGCACAAAACACCTTTCCTTTCGAGGTCAAAGTATTGTTGATCATGTCCCTGTCAAAATAAATGTCGTTTTTACTATGTAAACGTCTTTAATGTAAAAGATTATTCGGTTCTGAACTTAACGTCAACATTACATTTGAATGATATTTGAATTATATTTTGGTCAAATTATTAACATTTTCGTCGATTCTGCGAGGTGTATGTAAACTTTTATTATGAGTGACTGACTGACCTGTGCAGCTGTCCATCAAAACCCGCTTGTCTGAGAATACTTCTGTTCCCGGAGGGTCTTCTTGGACCACCACAGCACTGACGTTTAGCCTCTTCAGCTCCACGAACACACTGGTATGACATTCATTAACACTGTTATGTCATTTCTGGCATCCACAAAGGGTCACTCGGTCTCCTGTGTGCTCAGCCCGGGCTACTGGATGTTTCTGTAGTGAAGTGAGATGAGGGGTTTATTTAGGGTCGCTCCCAAAAGAGCTCCAGTCGGTCGCGGGTCTCTGTTTTTTCTGTGAGTGATGTGAGATTGATCGTGTCAGATTTACAGTGAGAAATGTTTACAGCCCTCTGGTGGCTCTTTTCTTAATCACATGTAGCAGTGAGACTGATGATGGGCATTGATTTTGTTTCATTGTTTGTCAATTGTTCGTCGCTCATCTGTTGTATGATGTGTGCTGATGCTTTTCTGATATTATGAGTCCTTGTTGAATCTCTAAGAGTGTGTTGGAATGATAAACACTGTATTTGGTGACTAATATGCATTAGAAGTATATGCGTTATAAGTGCAGATACTATCTATCTATCTATCTATCTATCTATCTATCTATCTATCTATCTATCTATCTATCTATCTATCTATTTATCTATCTATCTATCTGTGTCTGCCTGCATGCCTGTTCGTCCGTCTGTGTTTCTGCCTATCCATCTGTCTGTCCGTCTAATTTTCTGTCTGTCCATCTGTCTATTTCTGTGTCTATCTTTTTGTCTGTCTGTAATTTATTGTTGAATTTTTTTCTATATTTGTATATATGTCTATAAATGTGTTGTTGATGCCTCCAATATTTTCTCAAAGATTAATAAATTACTTTAATAAAATATATTAATATTACAATGTGAATCATATATCAAACCAACATTAAAAAAAACAAAAAAAAAACTACTGTAGGGTTTGAAAGACCCACTCCTTCATCAAAAGGTGTTCAGAATTTGTCCCCTATTTGAGCTCATTAGTCCCATTTTTGACAGTATGCCATCATAAATTGTGAATATAACCAATAAAAGAAGGCTTTACGAAAAATCTAATTATTAATTATTACTTAAATGGACAAAATCTGACTGAGGAAATGAGCTGGCCAGTGTGTTATTTGCAAGCTGCAGTTTTAAAACAAATTTTAACAGATTCCTAAATGTTTAAAAATAATTATCTCTTCATATTTCTAACATTCTATTATCATTACAATATTTATAAAACTCTAGTAACTTAGTTTAAATGCATATTTGCATATAAACATTTTTTTGTAAACATAAAATAGCATGATGAACACTTTGACAAAAATGTAGAAGTATTTTTGGTGCATCAAAAAGTGTGGTAATGATAACCATCTAACAAGCTAATCCAGCAGAAAGTAGTGCTTAAAAAGTCACTAAAATGCAGTGTTTGAATCTCATAATTTAATAGCAAATGAGGCACATAACTGTATAAACTGTTTGAGAAAAAAAGGATCACCTCTTTTACAGTTTTTCTCCATTTGTTTGACTCGTTTTTTGAAACAGAAATTACATTCTCATAAATCTAAGGTCATTTGGCAAAACAGTGTTACAGTTTAGCACAACACTATAGCTAGGCCCACCCGGAATCTGTGCGCGCAGATTTTCTTTTTTTTATTAAGTTGGTTTATTTACTTGAGTAAACGTGTGTGAATCTATATTTATTCAGTTTTTTAATTAATTTCAGTCGTATTATTGACTAATGTGAAAATGTTCATCTG